ACTAGTTGAACAGTTTTTTGTGATTTACAGCTTGGATGTAGAAGCTTTCAAATGAGGCTTTCAAATAAGCTATAACAACCTTTAGGTGAAGGAGTGATTCATAAGTCAGATTTAAAAGTTGTTGCAACCCCTCTGCCTATGCTCATATGCGGGGGCATGGTACAATATTATGGGCCCTCCACACAAAGAGTTTCTGTGGGCCCCCTTCCTGTCTCGATTCATGATGTCCCTCATAAAATAAAACTGCAATTGCAAAAGGACATGAATGACAAATGTTTTTTTCCTAATTAGTATATTTAGCTTACAGACATTATATAATTACAGATATAAATCAGCTATTATTTTACACTCTTTTAAAAGGTGGTTCCACTGGCTGCTGTTGCGCCACAAAATGGATGTGGAACATGCCCATGTTAACAAAGTTGAGAGGGTTAGGGTTAGGGTTAGCTGCTATTCCGCTGCGGAGGCCGCTTTGCTCTTTTAGTTAACGTCTCAACTATTTTCTTCTTGTTCTGCGCCCAGTTTACAACAGAACACACAGTGAAAATGATTTTCTCACACCAGTTAAATGTTTATTTGTCGAATAAGTCACAAACAGAAATATTCCTGTAGCCTACCCATTTCAAAATAAAGGCAATCCATTGTTTCTGTTTTGTTTTTTAAATGTTTTTATTGTGAAACATTTGCAGGAGTGGAAAATGCATGTGGTATTGTATAAATTAATTTGATTGGATACAGTGATCACAAGAAGCCTCAAGAAGGCTGTAGTTATATTAAAAGTTAAGGTAAAAAACTTCAGGGCCTGTCGACCTGTCTCCCTCTTTCTTGCTCGCCCTGTCTCTCTCTGTCAAACACATTTATGTCAGTGTTCAAGCTAAACCCTCTGTATTATCTCAGCTGTAGCTCCACGGTGGATCATCCCTCTGTGTGAAAGCAAGTACGCTATTTTATTTAGTTGTCTTATTGAGAAAGGTTTTCATATTAACTGTGTTCTTACTAGTTGGGCTCACCTTTTTGTGAAAAGAAATCTGTTAACAGTTGTCTGCCCTCTGTTTTTTTTCTTTCTGTTTCCTTTTTCTCTTTTCTTTTCTGACTCCCTGATTTAACATATGCTTTCCTGAGTGGAATTTTGAAAACTCCAGCAGGCACTTACTCGTTTGATCGCTTGCAGACTGTATATAGATGACGTGCAACAAAGACTAAACCATTTGTTTGTAGGGGTGAGAGAGGTGACGTCAGGAAGCCTATTTGGATATAAATTTCAGTCAATCAATCGATTTATTCAGTCAGTTTCAGCCATTTTCATTAAGTACTTAGAAATTAAATCAAAGGTCCAGTGTGTTTAGGTGCAAAGGAACTATTGTCAGATATTTAATGTAGAATAATCCTTGTGATGTTTTCACTAGTTCGTTTCATTTAAATTGTATGAATTATAGTTTTCTTTAGCCCAGAAAAAGCCCTTTATATTCAAATACTTTATATTTGCATTGAGGGGGTCCTCTCTACGGAGGCTGCCATGTTTTTTACTGTCGTCCAGACTGGACAAACTAAACACCTTTTGAGTTTTTATGACAACTGAAGCTACCACAGGTTCTTTTTCATGTTTTGAAGGAGAGGGTGAGGTGAGGGGTGTTCAGCTGCAACATGCAATTTCAACACTAGATATCAAAAAATATCTACACACTGTACCTTTAATGTGATTAATTTAAATGTTTTCATTTAAAAATATCTTTCAGGCCCCCTCCCCATTAGGGCCCTGGGACCTCAGTGTCATAGCAAAAGTATTAAATCAAGAACATGAAATTCTTATTTGATTACATGAATAATTCAATTGTTTTTCTTCATCATCTTGGCAATACATTTTCTCCACTGCTTTTTGACAATGATAATTGGTGAGTTTTACAGCAAATAAATGACTGAACCCATTACAATCAGCTTACAACTTAGTTACTATTATATTGTTCCCTGATTCTATCAAGAAAAAAAATATGAGTGGTGCTCACTTTGTTTACAATCTCTTAACATTATCTATATGTTATTATTATCATTAGAACACAATTATATAGTATTCAATCTATCATGAATTTAACTTTCTCTATTTCTTTAAATCTTTGACCTGATAGAAAATACTTATAGTCAGGTAAATAATGGAATATCAGGTGATAAATAAAGAGCTGAAGAACATGGATCATTATTACACAATCAGCTATAGCAAAGATGTGATTTTGGATGTTTGAACATATACCACGATACATGCGACAGAAGTAGAGAGTCACAACTGATTGACTTTAGTAATTATTAGGTATGATGGGTACGATATGATGCCTGCATGATGTATCTTCTACTTTGGTACCACTTCAAAATACAGCAGTGTGACTGAGCTTGATGCAGACAAGAATGTGGTTTGTAAAAATACACATGGAAACTTCAGTGTGCAAGCTTAAAAATCAGACCAGCATGGGCATACACTACATGAGGGTGTCTGAGTTTGTATTATTTTAGTTTTCACCTTGATGCGGCTGACGGCCTCCTGTGCCTGCATCATGCGGACGTTCTTGGATGATGTTTTATCCGAGAGCAGCTGAGTGGAGCCAAGGTAGTTGGCTGCAAAGATGATTCCATCAATCAGGTCCTCTGGGTCACATGGGCCTGGGACTGGAGGGACGAGAATGGCTATGTGTCACTATTTAATGCAGTGTTTCCCCTACATTCCCTTTAGCCTTTATTCCTGTATTATATGTATATATATATATAATATAAAACAAATACATTTTTCCATTACCTTTGAACAATGTGAAAATAATGTATGATATAATAGTGTAAAACAGTAACAGAGTTAGCACACTTTTATTTGTTAACATTTTAATAAAATAGGGTAACTATAAGAAGGAGGTTATGTTTTCATAGCTGTCTTTGTTGCATCAGTAAGCAGGATTACGCAAAAACGAATTCCATAAAATTGGTCCTAAAAATCAATTCCCATAATGTTTTGTGGAGGGGTCAAGCATGACCCAAGAAAGAACCCAATAGAATTTGGTATAGATCTAGATAAAAAGGCAGATCAAAAGATTTCTTCCTCTTTCCATAACATAGTGAGATTATGCATTGGCATTGTCGCAGGTAGGCTCACTGCAAGACCTCTTCTTATTGTTTTCCCAATTACAATAAAACCACAGTAAAAATAATAGTTAAGAATAACTAAAGTTATTGTAGTATTGTAGTCTAATGACTTGATGTTTTTTTCTTGCCTTTTCTTTAATAAAAAGTCAACATCCCACTTTGATCTGTGTGTCATACATCATCAAAAGGTTTTGAGGGATAAGGTGTATGGAAAAAAAAATGTTTGACAATGTTACTTTTAATTTCCTTAAACATTAATTCTTAGCTTACCTCATTATCATGGTCGACTTGTTTTTAAATGTCTTGTATTTCATTGGGCCTATTCTGATTTCCTGAAATGTCTCATTAATTGCTCAGGCAATTAATAGCTCCTTTACTATCAGAGGATTCTCGTAATAATTTCTTATCACAATCTAATACAACTCTTCCTACGATTATTTCACCAAACAAAGTTCATTCTGTTGAGCAGAAATGATTTGCACTTGTCATTCATCCATTTTTCCGCCACTCAATCACATTGTTTAGATTTGTTTGTGTTCGTCATTGACTTTTTCTTGTTATAGGGACAAAAAGCTTATGTATGTTTATCTATTTTATACACTGTGCCAAAGCCCCTGCTGATGTTTTTTCTCCATATAACTGATAACTCTCCCCTGAGTTTGAAAACCTCTACACCAGAGGATGAAACACTCACCCTCTACATATGTGGGGAAGGAAGCAAGGCTTCTTCTGGACTATGAAAAAAAAGAGAGGAGCATGTTAGGGTTTTGTCAAACATTCGTTCAACTTGACAAAGAGACAAAGGGCTGAGAATATTGAATAATTAGTAAAATATTGTTATTATTAATAATAAGAAGAGAACATTTAACCAAGTTAATGCTATACGATAAATAAAATAAAGCAATATAGCAAACAGATCCCTGGTTAAAACATACGTAATACTTGTCTGATTGTGAGAGGGAGGTTGTTCAACATCTGTGGAGCCCCTAACAGTGAAGGCCTTACCTCCCTTTGTCTATAGTCTTCAAAGCTGGTTAGCAGAATGAAGATTACAAACAGGGTTATAAGGGGTGAAGAGGTCTGATAAGAAAAGTGGTGCAAGGCCATTCAGTAATTTATGTAACTGAACACACAGTCTTTTTATTGGTTGACAGCCCATGGAGTGGGCTAACCTTGTCACATACGACAGGGGAGTTTTAACAAGGAGGTATGTCAGCCTCATCCTGAGGGTTGAGAGCAGCTGGGGGACGCATGAGAAAAAAGTGTGAGTGTTGTTGGAGATGGATGAACCCCTCATACTACATAATTTTTGTCTTAAGTTTGTATCTGCGTTTTAATGTAACAAAAGAATTGTCATTGGTGTAACAACGCTGACTGAATACGAAGAGCGAGTTGCCCAGCAGAACAGGTCAGGTCAGTACCGGAAAGAAGAAACCACTGTAAAACTCACCTATCTTTAGCTCTAGCCTGAAGCTGCAAAGTTTGTATCTATGTATGCAAACTTTAAAGCATCAAATCTCAGAGGGTGTGTGGTTGTGACATGTAAAAACAAGCAATACAATTTTAACCAGTGCAATGAGGTGAGAATGGACAATCTTATTTTTGACTTCTTGTGAGAACCCTTCTTGTAAGAATGCTCAACACACCTCTTTACTAGAAGGAGAAATTTCACCGCTGTAATCCTGCAGCAGACTTCTGTGGGATGACTCTGCTCCTGGAGGCGAGGGTGAGCTTGAACCAGGAGACTGAAGGGAGAGAATATGGAACATTAACAAAAAGCAGAATAGGATTTGTTAATTGAAAGACTGGAAGTAAAATGCGTCGGAATCAAGCTTGAATGCTAAATGGTCAATTCTGTAGAAAAGGGAGGGATGTAAACTGTATGAGCATTACATGGAAATATCAATCAATCAATCAAATTAAATTTTTATAGCCCATATTCACAAATCACAAATTGTCTCATAGGGCTTTACCAATGTGTGAGATCCTCTACCTGTAACCCTCACCCTGAAGAGTAAGGAAAAACTACCAAAACCTTTTAACAAGGGAAAAACAGAGCCACATGTGAGGTATCCCTCTCCCAGAATGGACAAAAGTGCAATAGATGCCAAATGTAATGGAGAACGTCAGAAAAATAAGAGTAATTACAATATTGGTTAGGGTAAACAGTTTGAAGCACGATGGAAGGTAAATGAATTGAGGAATTATTGTAAGTAATGGTAGAGTATCTGAGTTGAGGAATTATTGTAAGTAATGGTAGAGTATCTGAGTTGACATATTGTATATAAAACAGTCATAGTCCACGATCAGCAGCCACCACGGTCAGGATACAGGCAGGATGGCACAGGTTTTCAGGACCCTGGGGCTAACGTAATCTGGGCCTGCTGATTTTCCAGTGTGGAGTTTCTTCAGTTGTCTTCTCACCTGCTCAGCAGTGAAGGTCAAGACAGGTAAAGGGGGAGTGTTGGTGCATCCCTGGAAAATGCACACACTGCAGAGGAGGTGAGAGTGAGGCTGTCTGGTGGGGGAAGCAAGGAGAGGGGGGTAGGGGAGAGAGAGTGGTGAGAGAGGAGTGAGTGGTTGCTGCCGTCCTGCAGAAGAGTCACTTAGGGGATGGGTCGGTGTCACGCCATCAAATCTATTAAAGAAGTGATTGAATTTGTTCACCCTGTCCACGTCACCATCGACTCCTCCACCCCTGCTTGGCCTGTAACCAGTGATGGTCCTCATGCCACTCCACACTTCTCGCATGTTGTTCTGTTGGAACGTCCGCTCCAACTTCCTCCTTTACTTCTCCTTTGCCTCTTTGATCGCCGATCTCAGCTTACGCTGAATTTCTCTCACCTCCTCTCTGTTGCCAGCTCTGAAAGCCCTCTTTTTTAATTCAGGCTGGCTTTAATGTCTTTAGTTACCCACGGCTTGATGTTGGGGTAACAGCTGACGGTCCTGGTTGGGACGATGGTGTCCACGTAGAAGTTGATATAACCGGTGATGCACTCTGTCAGCCTGTCAATGTCATCTCCATGTGGCTCACAAAGTGCCTGCCAGTCTGTCACCTGGAAGCAGCCCTGCAGTGTCTCATTGTCCTCATCTGTCCATCTCCTGCCTGTCTTTGTTGTTGCTGGTAGTCTCTTGACAAAAGAGACATAGCAGGGGGTAAGGTGAACCAGGTTGTGGTCTGACCTGCCCAGTGGGGGGAGGGGGAAAGAGCTATATAATGCCTCCTCAACATTAGCATTCAGAGGTCTATTGTTCTTCCCTCTCTGGTGGAATCCCTGGTGTAAACAATGTGGGCAGCTTGGAGTTGCTGCACTGAACAAAAACACCAAAACTCTAGCAAACCACATGTTGGTTCGATGTAAATTGTAAGTGATCCAACACTTAAATAAAGAAATTTAAAAACAAAGTTAAGTGTAAGAAAAGTATAGAAAATGTAGAAGAGTATCAAGAGCGCTCATAACAGGCAGCACACAACTTCAAGACTGTTCATGTGGAAAATCTTCCATGGAAGAAAAAATGGGAACCTGTCGTGAAGGCACAGCCAATTCCTCCTCCCCCTCTGCAGTGCCACCACTGAGCATAGCACGCATATCAACTCTGCAGGTTGTGAACGCACCCCAACACACTGCCCCACTAAATTATAAAACCCAATCCGAACTGTGCCCAAAAGGGTGCGTCAGGTGCAAGCTCTTTTCCATTCTTTTTTACTCTCTTTCATGTGCTTTTTTTTCTGCTGACATTTGTGCACTCTGGATAAGTGCATCACACTTGCAGTGTTCTTTCTTCTGTTTTTTTACACTCAATGGTGTCTGGAGATCCTATGTGGAGCCATGTCCTTATTGTTCACAGTAGGGATCAGCTGTTATGTCCCCTGCAAGCTGAGGAGAAGGATACAGGGGAGCCATGCTGGAGCCCAGCGTCATGAGAGGAGGAGATGCTAAAAACCTGTCCTCCCATTCATCTTCATGGGGAATGTTAAATCTCTACTAAATAAAATGGACAAGTTAGCAGCACTGACCTAGCATGAGGGGTGTGGCTGTGGCTGAGGGGTAGAGTGGCCATCCTCCAACCAAAAGGTTTTATGCCAAAGTGCCAAAGTGTCATTGGGCAAGACGTTGAATGCACTTATTCTGAGTTGCTTTGGATAAAAGCGTTTGCCAAATGACATGTAGTGAGAGGGACTACTTCCATTTAATTAGAGGGACTACCTCCTGCGTGGTGCTGGGGCCAAAGACTCCACACCCTAAAGACCTCAGCAGCTACAGGCCATTGCCACTAAGTACAGAGGGCTGACGCAGGACTTTGAGGACTGATGCCAGTGAAACTGCCTCCAGATCAACGCATGTAACTTGGACTGGACTGACTATGCCAGTGCACTCTTTAAGAAGGGCCAGAACAGACGGTATCTGCTTAGGAGACTGAGGTATTTTGGAGTACAAGGTGTGCTACTGGAGACCTTTCATGACTCTGTGGTGGGATTAGCCATTTTCTCTGGAGTGGTCTGATAGGGCAGCGGCATTTCAACTGCAGACAGGAAGAGACTGGAGAGACAGATTAGGAGGGCCAGCTCGATCCTGGGATAACCCCAGCAGAGGCTGCATCCCTCAGTTGTACAGCCCAGCATGCAGGCAGCCATGGTCCTCAATAGTGTCTGTCTCTCCGTACAGGCCTGCAATGCCTCGAGGTGCTGCAGGTTCATCGCTGCCTGCTTGCTGTGCATGGCTTGGATCTCTGCCACTTTCTGTGCCAGCGCCTTCAGTGGCTGATGCTGCAGGGGCAAGTTACTTAAGCCAAAAGGCATTATCAAGTACTCATAGTTTCCACCGGGTGAATTTAAGATTCTTAATCTTAATCTTAAGAATCTTAAGGCTGTCTTCCATTTGTCTCCTTCACAAATGTGCAGCAAGTGAAATTCATTGCAATGATCTAGTTTAGTGAAGATTTTTGATTGAGACCCCGGAAGTCAATACAAGGATGCAGGGATCAATCTTTCTTCCTCATGAAGAAGAAGCCTGCACCTCCCGGAGTAGAGGACGGCAGGATAATGCCTGCGGACTAAGTATTGTGAATGTATTTGTTCATCGCCTCCATTTCGGGGGCTGACAAAGAGTAGAGCCTACCCTTAGGCAGTGATCTTCCAGGCTGAAGATTAATTGCACAGTTATACGGCCGGTGTGAAGGCAGAGTTGTGGCACGTGACTTGCTAAACACAGGTTTCAGGTCCAGGTATTCAGCTGGCACTGCAGATAGGTCCAGAAACCTCTCCTGTGGCTCCACAGTGCCTACCAGCAGTAAGGCTGAAGATAGACACTGCGGCAAACAGAAACTGCTCGGACCAAAATGTTGTTACTAAGTCAGTCAATTTGGGGATAATGTTTGATGCTCACCATTAACTTCTGCTTTACTGGTGGGCGTTGCCTTTTAATGGGCAGTAAGCAACGTAGTGTCACAGCTAGGGATGTCATGATATGAAATATCACGGTTTTATTTATTTATTATCTATCCTATAGAAGGAAAAAGACACAACAAGAAATATATAGATAATAATATAGCTAATGAACTAAAATATTTATTATTATCATCAACTATATCCATTTAGTTTTTATAGTGTAACTTCTGGCTATTTAAAGGTAATTTATGTAGGCTATTTTATTTAGTTACCTTATTGTGGAAGGTTGGTCAGTGAATTTGTTTCCTGCCATCATAAGCAGTGTATCTTTGTGGGACTTATATTGTGAAGGGTGAAAGTTGTTTTGGGAGCGATGTCTTGATTAGTTGTAAAAAAAAGAAACAGGCATATTGTCCTGGTTCAAGCACACATTCTTTGTATCCTATTATACTATTACCCCTCAGTATAGTTGAGTTAAACTGTCAGCTACATTTATAATGGTTAATAGGAAGAGAGAGAAAGAGAGAGAGAGAGAGTGTGTGTGTGTGTGTGTGTGTGTGTGTGTGTGTGTGTGCGTGTGTGAGAGAGCCACTCTCCTTTGGAGCTGGTCAGAAACAAGGATTTCTCCTCTCGCTGTGATGGAGTTTATTGTTCAGCATTGTTGGAAAACAAGGGTGTTACGACAGTTCCCTCTTCAAAAGTAATGTTTCAGTGGCTTCCACACACACAAGCGCACTGCACATACACAAAACGTGACTCCAGAGAGATTTCACCACACTCGTGCACTCAAATTAAGTGACTCGCGAAAGGCAGGACACCATAGTTAGATGGTAAAGAGCTGCAGTAAAGAGCTGGCTGCAACAAAGTGCATTGTCGTCGTTCTGCAGGAGACATGCGAATGGCAAGACAGAGTCTAGTGTAGCAGGTAATTTGCGGGTGGCAATTTGTGATATGTCCTTGTGTACTGTTTTTTGTTGTCGTTGTACAATGTACTCTTCTGCACTTGCTGTAGCATTTTGGCCCAAGACAAATTTCCCTATGGGACAATAAAGTATATTTGATTTGGTTGATTTGACTATGTTCACACTGCCATCTTAGTGCTCAATTATTTTTCAAATTTTTTTCTCGATCCGATTTTTAATGGAGATGTTCACATCGTCTTTTAAAATGTGGCCAGTATCAGACTCCTTTGTGAACTGTTCACGGCCCTGATGTGACCCACATGCGCAGAAGCAGAACAAGATGTCACACACAGCACACTGTGTACGGAAGTAAACAAGGAGAAGAAGTCTGTAACAAACATGGAGGTTACAGATGTGAGACAAAGCAATTATTTTGCAGTGGAATGATGAGTAG